ATTGTGGTTTATATGCTATCAATAAAGTAGATTTAATTCAGTTCAATAAGTTTAAATGAAAGCCAAGAAAAAATGTGTATAATTAAATATTCTGTACAAGGAAGTCATGTGGAGTACACATCGGATTCTTTTTTATGTTAGTAATTGAATAGTAAAGGAGTATGGTAACCTTTTATGTTGACATTACGCTTGGCAATGATTACAGATTTAAGTTAAACGGGCAAAAAATTTTGACGAGGAAACCTTTAACAAAGAAAATCTTTATGTGCCAAAAATAGTCTTTTTAATGACACTCATAGGCCAAAAGACTACATTTAGTGCTATTTTAATTAAGAATAGCTGATTTATTACTCATATAAACCCAGAACCAGCACCAGGGCTTTTATGGTCACACTGCGTAGCAGAATTTAGGACCGACAGAGACTGCATGAGGTAAGATATCTAGCGCCAGCCCTCAATAAGGCTTAAGTATATGTGGGAATTTATTTATTCAGAACTCTGATAAGCCTTAAGCATATGCAAAGACATAAATACTAAACTAATACAATTCGGGCTTAATTGTCTCAGTGCACGATAGAAGCAAGATAAACTTTAACGGAACAACTTGTCATTAGTTGCCAAGCTCATTATGCATAGCCAAATATATATATAGTGAATGATAGTTAAATTTGATGTTGATAACCGCTAATTTTAAAGGTTTTCGTATATTGCAAAACAAAGGTGAAATTTTCCAATTAACGGATTTTGTAAAGAAATGCGGAGAAGCAGTAATAAATGAAGATGATATAAAAGAAGTTTTTCATTGTGATGACAATGCTTTTCAATTCTCAATCAATTAATGAATGGCGAAATCTGTAATATGGTTCTAGATCCAGAAGAAAGTGACAAAGAAGTTACTGAAAACGAAAAAATTTTGATTGACAAGTTAGTCGAAATGCAGTTACAGGACTTATGTAATTGAACTACAGGACTTATGTAACAATGTAACTGAACAAGAGATTGTGTCTGTCTACAAAATTAAAGAGAAAGTAGTAGTACAAAAAACGAAACAACTTACATTGAAAGAAATGTTTAATAAGGTAAACAAATAAATATTAAGCTTTTTTTTTTGTAAATTTTGTTACCCTTTAGATTATAAATAATTCATTATTTCATAAATCACGATTTCATATTTTTAATTTTATAATTTCTACATGTCATCTTACTAGATTTAAACTGATGATGTGATATCCGGAAAAATCCTAAATTTGGAATTGCCGAAGTTCTGACGTGTTCGGATTTTGGACTTTGTACTCTAGTGTCATCAATAATATTTTATTCAATAACTTTAAGCAAAGTTCTGGCAGAGTAGTTAGGCAACTAAAAACAGTCTTTTGTTTCTCAACAAATCCTGTTGACTTTGCATGAGGTAAGATATCTAGCGCCAGCCCTCAATAAGGCTTAAGTAGATATGGGAATTTATTTATTCAGAACTCAGACTAAGGATATGACCAATGTGGAAGGATATGACTAATGTTGATTTTTTCAACAGAAAAACAGACTTTCATCAACTTTGACAATATTACTGGTACTGCCTATTTTAACTGACAGTCTAGATATTAATGTATGGCCTTATGTAACTGTTACAGCCACCAACAGTGCCATAATTAAAATCAAGTTGATACTGATTGAATTTAAGAAATGTCATTTCTAAACACCATGCATAAATGAAACAAATTGCCATTGAGAAGCTGATTCTCAATCCTTCAAACCAGTTTTGAGAATGTAATCCTTTTTTTTCCTCGGCATGTCACATCTTCACATCTCCATTTCAGTGTTTCCATCGAGTTCCAAGTAGAGTGTCATTTTATGACTTTTCGTGCACTGTCTTTCAAAGTGAATAATTACTCATTCCTGAAGAAATTGTATGGAAGGTATTTCATCATTGGGTAAGTCCCAAATTTTCATATCTATGGTCAATATAATAATAATAAAACACAAGCTTCCATTACATCTTTAGAATTTGTATTCTTGTTACCAGTTTTGAAAAGACTTTTTTTTTTTTTTTTTTTTGTTAAGTATATATTGCAATGAATTTAAAAGTAAACGTTCCTGACTTCATATGAATCAATCCTTTGCAGTTTCATATGAATCAAGTTTAGCAGAACAGTTGGTGACAACTACAGTCCCGATAACAGAACAGTACTCAAAATTAAAAGAAAATTAAATTGCAAAATTTAATCTACATCATCATAAAACGAATGTAATAAAATAGATAACATTTTTTGGTATTGCATGTAATTTTGTATGAATAAATTCAAAAGAGGGAAAAGTTTACTGTATTCTTCAAAACTTTATTCTCATTTCATTATAAAGCTCATGGGAAATTTCAGAAGTGATGCATTTTTTCGTACCATACAAGATTTAATTTATGGCAAGGAGCATCAGCAAAAAATAAGATTTGGTGTTCACAAAATTTTTCCATCGTGGAAAAAAATCAGCCCCTGTATTTTTTTCTCATGTAACGCTGCTATATTATAATTTAAACATTTTATTATGTGCCTATATATATGTATATAGATATATTTAACCTCATTTGTATGCTTGGAGTAACCTTCTTTTGAAGTATATATGTAAGTATTTTATATACATGCTACGAGATCTGCATTTATATCTGATTTTGGGTGAATTTTTGAAACTGGATTTCAATTTATAACAGCAATAAAAATAGAAAGTTAATTAGAAAGCATTGAAAACAACATTAAATCAATTTTTAGAAAGAAAATTGAACCTACATCATCTCCATTATTAAAAAATGAGGAATATGTAAATGTGTATGCTCTTTGTATTATAGAAAATGACAGCATATAAAACCACCGAATTTTGAACACATGCAGTCTTGCACCCGCACATAACACTGATGAGCCAAAACATTATGACCATCCCTGCAATTTTCAGTGAACTTGTCTGGATGATGTAGAAGGCACACGATCATATGACAATGGTATTAAACTGATGCTGGAGAAGCTAAGAAATAATTCTTGCACTTTTGTGAGTGATGGGAAAGACTGCTGATCTAGGAGAATTTGATAGAGGATAGATTGTAATGGCCCAAAGACCCAGAATGATTATCTCCGAAACTGTAGGTTGTTCACACTCTGCTATTGTTAGTATTTATGCAATATGGATAAAGGGCGGTGAAACCAGCAGCAGATGCCAAGGTGTTGGACATCCACATATTGAGATCAGAGACTGTTCCACATGTTACAGCAAAACTGGCACCAGACAGTGGCTCAAGTATACAATACAATGCATGTTGAATATAATACAATACAATGCATGTTGAAGTGCAAGTGTTTCAAAACACACAGTTCAGCGGACATTGTTGGATATGGAACTGCGCAGCAGACATCCCACTCATGTTCTTCTGTTCATAAAGCGTCATTGTCAACCACACCTATAGTGGGCTCAGAAACATTGAGATTGGACCATGGATAAGTGGAAGACCACCATCAAACTGAGCAAAGGTGGTTTGCTTAATTTAAACAGGGTAGAACATCACTTGGAGAGGATCCCAGATTAAGTTGCAGTTTGGATGTGACCACTGAAGAAATGTATGCTCAACTCAAACAATTTATAGTGGAAAATAAATGAGTAACACTTTTCCAGATTTACAAGAGAATAAGCATCAGCTCTTGGATTAGTAAAAAAAATTCTGTATGAAAAGTTGAAAGTTTGTGCCAGATGGGTACACCAAATGTTCATGCTAAAAATAGCAAAATATTGAATGAAATAGTCTCAAGAATTTTTCTGTGTGATAAACAGTGAAAACAAAAGTGCATTTGCAAATAGTGATAGGATGAAACGTAGCTTCACCATTGTGATCCGGGGGGTGGGGAGGGGAACTGAGAAAGTGTGATATAGAAACAAGCGGATGTATGTGACCTGATAAGTTCAGAACCCAGAAAAATCTGAAGAGAATATTTTGGATGCCATTTTTGAACTTCAAGAAAGGACACTGATTGCTGATTATATGTTGCATAATAAATACCACAGTAGCATAAGTTTATTCTGCTAAATTATTGACTTAAATTTGACAAATCATAACTATGGAAAAGTTAGTATAAAAGTGCTGCTTTTGCAAGAAAATGCTTAGGTTCATGACATTTCATAGACTACTATTTAGCAATGTGGATTTCATCTTCCTTCTCATTCACTGCATTTACCAAATTTGATTCAAAATAACTTTTTTTTGGTTTAAAAATATGAAGCAGTATTGTTAATAATTGTTAATAATTTGCTCAATAATGATGATTTGAAAGGTGTCATTCAGAAGTAGTTTCAAGGCTATTACAAGCATTTTTTTATCTTAAATTCTTCTAATTGTTGTGCTAACCTGCTAATTGTACTGAAATGCTTAAAACTTGAACAACCCCCTTTGTCTATAAAACAGTGCCATGTAATCAATGTATATGTATATATATAGGTAGAAGGCAGAGTGATAAAAATAGAGTGGTAGTAAGGTAGATGTATAGGTTAAGGTTGACATATAGATGAGTTAGAAGAACTCTGTAACTTGTTAATGAAGAAACGTTTAGAACTTCATATTTTTGGTTCTTTCAAAAATCCAAAATGAAAGGGATCAGAAATAAGTAAGGTATTAAAACTATTAATTAGAAATATTTATAAATACAACATTGGTGTGAATATACTGAAAAAATGTAAGCAGGTGACTGATAAAAGTTAGTAAAAAATACCTGGTTGTTGCTTGCTTTAGTATATAAAATTTCAATGGCAAAGAAAGAAAATTTTTACAGTTGGTAAGATTTCTGGGCAAGGAGTTGTGAGACCAAATTTGAAATTAAAGTATTTTTGACCGAATAACATTTAAATATATATACAAGGTCTGTTCCGAAAATAATGTGCCCATTTTTTTAAAGAAATTTATTGAAATGATTCATACAGTTACTCAGTATTCTTCGAAATACATCCCTCCTGCTTTAACACGTTTATTCCAACAGGATTTCCATGCTTTATATGCTTCCTGGAAGTCTGTCACAGGGTTGTCCTTTAGTAACCTCGCCGTAGCCACCTTGATCTTCTCCAGGGTCCCCAAATGCTGTCCTTTGAAGGATTTTTTAATCTTCTGGAACAAAAAGAAGTCAGGCATGGACAAACCAGTGTTGCAACGCAAAAATCTCTGACAGCGTTTTCTCAAGTTTGAAGCAAAACTTTATTGTGTATCGCTGCTCAAGAGTGTTTTTCATCTTGATTGTGACAGAGCACTCACACAAGGGTTCAATGAAACAGGCACCGTGACTCTCCAGGAACTCGGAGCCGACTTGCACTGGTCGCGTTGTGTTCCCAAGACTCCACCCACCCTTCTGTGCAAGCGGCAGAAGGAAATGGGGCACGCTACTTTTGGGACTTGTATAAAGCTTTTCAAAACAAATACAGAATTTTAAGCAATGAAAGAAAAGAGAAAACTTAATACTAAAAGAGAATTTCTTCACTTGGCTTATTTCTTAAGAGTATTTGTACAAAAATAAATTATTTTGAAATTATTTGTGTAAAACTGTAACTAGGGAAAAAGGAATAAAACTCATATTAATTTTATTTATTGTTTTTTAAAATCTATTATGGGTTTTATTTTACAGATTACACTAATACATATTTCTTGGGATGGCAAGCTGCTGTGCAGGAGACATTTATCCATCAGAAGATGCAAGAAAAAGGGATAAAAGATATCAGATACAAGGCTAGTTGTTCATTTCTGTATAACCTTTACTAATCTTTAAAATTTTATCAGGTATTAGTTGATGCATTGCCTTTTTTATTGTCTGATATGGTTTCATTTCGTAATTTTTCATCTTTTATTATCACTGCTGTTTAATTTTTGTGTTACTAAATGCCTGTAATTTTGTATAATCATTAATAACACACACACACACACACACACAACAAAAAAAAAAAAAAAAAAAAAAAAAAGGCATAAGATTAATCACCTTTATTCTATGCCTTTTCATATAGGAGTAAAAGCAAGTATTGACAATAAGTAATACAGTGAAAATCATTTAACACGAAACTGAGGGGGCTGAAATATTGTTTTTGTGTTAAAAGAATATTGAAAAAAAAAAAAAAAAAAAAAAAAAAACATATATTAAAAAAAATAAGTTTACTAAGAGTACATTTTATTTACATAGATATGTATTTAGGCATGTGTTTAATAAAAATCAACGAAAAACATCCATAAGAACCTAATGAAGTTTAATACAAAATTTTCAGGTTTTTTGAAACACAACGCATTTATTGAGTTTTTGGAAAATAACCTAATATTTGTCTTTACATTGCCTTTTTTTAGCATCAAATTGTTCGATGCTGTCCATTTTGTTATTCATTCCACCAGTGGAATGTGCGTCTAAATAACTGCGCATACTTTTGATGATGTTCTTCATTTCGGATGATGTAAGAACAGTAGCTGCATTATTCATTTCATTTATGTCATTGGAATCTGCATCGGGGATCTTTTTTTAGCTTTGAACAAACTCCAAAATGTCTTTGTCTGCCATAGTTTGGGCTGTACACACATTATCATCATCTACTGCAACATTTTCTTCCGATGATACAATAGGACAGTTCAATAATACAAAAACTTTTTCAAACATTTCATTAAGTGTTGGTCCAGTTTCAATATCCTCCTTCTCCATTTCTTTTGCCGCCAAAGAATCTGATACTTTTTACTGATACTGATAATCTTACGTGACAAAAACAACTTTCAATCGTCTTTGGAGCCAATGAATTCCATGCAAAGTGCAACATATGAAGAGCATCTAGCAAATTGATCGAGATATTTTCATTTGCTTTGATTGCAAGTAAATATTTTTGAAGCAGTTGCTTCCGGTATACAAATTTCATGTTTTATATAATCCCTTGATCACAAGGCTGCAAGACACTTGTTATATTCGGAGGCAAAAACATAAGCTTTTCATTTTTCAATACAATGTCAAGGTGAGCTGGATAATTATCAATTATCATTGCAACTTTATGTGTTTCTTGTAAGAATCACTTGTCTAACTTTACAATCCAACCAGTGAAAATCGTAGCTACCATCCATGCCTTTTGTTTGCTGTATATTCGACCAGTAATGCTTTTACATTCTTAAAACACTGCGGTTTCAAATTTTTGCCAATATCAAATAGAGTTTTTCTCAGAACCATTAAAATTGCATCCTACCAATACAGTAATCCATTCTTTAGACAATTTCCTCCCTGAACAGGATTGTCCCTTAAACGATAAGGTTTTGTTGGATAAGCAGAAGTAAAATAAAACAGTTTTGTTCGCCTTGAAAACATCTTTAGCTTCATATTCTTCAAGTATTGAAGGCAATGTAGGCTGTATTGAAACCAATTTGTCCTGGTCGGTAAAACTTGATTAGCTTCACTGGAAACATTTTTTAGTGCTATGCTATTTCTTTTCTTGAAATGTTTCAGTCGAGCAAGTTCATTGCTTTTTTCTAGCATTAAAGGCCCTGATATTGGTGCATTCTGAGATCTCGCTTGTTTGAACCAAATAAATAAAGCCGTCTCTAAATTCTCGTGCTTGGCCGTTCTCATTTGTTTTTGCTTTGGCTCAATCAGCATTCAAACATTTCCTCGTAAATTGTCCTCTTTTTTTAATTATTGTTGATAAATGCAGAGTTAGCAATTAAAACAATCTTTATAGATTTCCGTTTTCATCTTCTGTTTTTGATCAAAACCTTAAGAAGCTCCATCTCCATTTTAACAGGGTTCGTACGGTCCTTAAAAGTCCTTAATTTTTTCAAAAACGATTTTTGGTCCTTAAAAGTCCTTAATTTTGGCTAAAATGAATAAACGGTCCTTAATTTTGCTCATTTGACATATCTTATCATTTCTAATGATTGCCATTCTATGTGTGAATTGCGATTTCTCATGACTATGGAATTAAAATTGCACGGCTCTTAACTAATCTGTTGGCGGATTTGCGTTGCAAAGCGATAAAAAAAAAAAAAAAAAAAAAAAAAAAAAAAAAAATTAGCTACCCGAACGAAAGTATCGGTGTCTGATTGGCTATTCACCCAATGTTTTCGAAACAGGTGTTATCCATAAATTTAGGCAGATTGTGACGAAAGCGTGAAGCCAGAAGTTCTTTAAGAGGCGAAAAGTGATGATGAAGGTGCTCGAGAAAAAAAAAAGGGGGGGGATTCTGAAAATATTTGCCAAAATTAGAGCAGTCCCAACCTGGAAGGCCACAACCCTTCCGACGCCAATAGGAACGAGAATGCCTGGAAAGTGCATTTTCAATAACTGTGGCTTCATCAAGCTGACTACAAAGACTGGATATTGATGGATGACAAAGCTTTTAAAGCTAAATGCGGTCTTTGTCTGAAACAAATTGAAATTTCTAGAATGGGAGAGTCAGCGCTGAAAATTCACATGAAAATTAAGTTTCGTTTTATCATTTCAATTTGTTTTTACACGGTTTTGCTTAGCTCAATTTCTGTGTTTGTTTCAATTAAGCCATAAATTAACTTTTTATCACCTTCTACGGAGTTTATTCTCTTTTGCACATACTATATGTATGGGATATCGGGATTATGAGTTTATTTTCAGCAGCTTGTCTGTTATCGATTTCGCGAGAAATCTGTTGGCTCCATTTTGACTTTAGGTTGCCAAGGGCAAATTCGGTAACGCTAGCCGAGAAAAAGTGAAGTTCGGAAATACGTTTTGAAGCTTCAATAGACAATTAAGTATTTGGTTTAATTCCTATGCTGTCGACAGTAATGCATTATTTTTGCTAATGGCGATACAATTATTAGTTGAAAACAACTAACTAATTAAAAATTTTTTAATATTTTTAAAGCTGAAAACAACTATTGAAACTAATTTCCCGAATTAATAGACGCAAAATTAACTTTCATGAAATTCTAAAGTTATTGGGTAGAAGTTTAACTGAAAATATACATTCCGTATTATATATATATATATAATTTTTTACAGTACAAAGTCCCGAGGTCGGACTTCGGCGATCAAGATTTGAGATTTTTCCGGGTATTTAGATCATTTTAAATCTACTAAGATGGCACATAGAAATTATAAAATTGAAAATATGAATCGTGATTTATGAAATAAGAAGCTTTATGATTTAAAGGTATCAAAATTTACAAAGAAAAGAGCTTAATATTTATATGTTTACTTTATTAACATTTCTTTCATGTGAGTTTTTTGATTTGTTTTTTGCTAATACTTTAGACTAATACTATAGACATATAATTTCTTGTTCAGTTGTTAAGTTCCATTGTTCAAGTCCTGTAATTGCTGTGTCGAGAATTCCGAATAACTGTCAATCAAAATTTTTCTCGTTCAGTAACTCTCTGTTACTTTCTTCACTATCGGTAGCTGTATTCTGGATTTAGAACATACTACAGATTTCGCCCTCCGTTAATTGATTGATGATTGGGCATTGTCATCGCAATGAAAAACTTCTTTTTAACTTCCCTTTGCTGCCCTGTGCCGCCTGGTGCGGCCATGCGAGCTCTGGCGCTGGTTCTGGCTTTAGTGAATAACAAATCAGTTATTTTTAATTCAAATAGCTAAATATAATCGTTTGTCCTATGAGTATCATTAACAAAATCTATTTTTAGCATAAGGAAAGAAATTTCTGCTAAATCTCCCCTTGTCAACATTTTAGCGCATTAAACTTAAATCGTAATCGGTAATACTCTCTTTGTTTGGCTGCATGAGTCATCACTCAAGTTGTCCTCCGTGATAACATGCTTTGATAAAGCAAATACACATAATAATGATTCGCGATTTCGGCATCAAGATATAAAATATTAGTTGCTGTAAAATTAACAAATGTTTCGGTTTGAGATTAGCCAAGCAGATACGCGCTATGGAGTCAGTTACTAATCACACATGTATGCTAATAATTATTTCTTCTATAATGAGATATTTTATTTAGCGCCAACTGAGATTAATATCAGGATTTCCGGCATGTTTTTTTTATGATGAGGAAAAAATTAATGCGCATAGTAAAGCAACCCCTTTCCTCCAAAAAAGCCCTAAAAAATTGGTTGTTGGTGGCTTTGAGGTCCGGATTTTAGATCATTCCCAATATTGGTGTCCGGATCTCGGAATTTGTACTGTTATATATATATATATATATTACTATATATATGTACTGTATATGTATATGTATAGATATATATGCTGTTTATATATTATATGTTTCATAGAAATAAATTGAGTTTAATTAAAAAAATTAAATTTAAATACATATTTAATTATATATATGCATTATATACATATATATGCGATACTTAATTTTACTAATGCCTTGCATGTATGGCCCTTTAAGCTGCAAACATCTTTCCCTTCTTCTCAACTGCAGAGTTTCTTCTAACAGTATCATGAATTTTGACAAGTTAGAAGAACCATCTACTTCAGGAAAAGATGTAACTGCTAATTCAACATCAATAAGTGTAGAAAATAATAAAATAATTCTTTTTTTTTCTTTCAAATCTGAAGTTACCGATGGCAGAAATATTGTGGGCTTTTAAGTGCATCAAAAGCCACTATTCTTTTAAATCGTGCGATGTTATTGGGCCTTTGTTCACTAAAATGTTCCCGGATAGTTTCATTGCAAAATAGTGTTCATGGGGTGAAAAGAAATGTGCTTATATCTGTTATTTTGGTCTTGGCCCTTATTTTTAAACTTTGTCACTAAAGCATTGTAAAAATGCTGAGTTTTTTACATTACTAGTTGATGAGACTCTTAATCTGACAAACCAAAAGAAGCAACTAGATATTTATGTGAGGTTATCAGGAAAATAAGGTCAGAACTCAGTACCTTACTTCTGCATTTATAGGGCATGCAAAAAGTGAAATTATTTTATCCAAATTTTATGAATGGGTTGAAAACTAGACTTGTCAAAACTCTTACAAATATCGATGGATGGTCCTGCAGAAACGTTTTTATGATTTATTGCAACAGACTTGACCAGGAATATAACATCAATGCTTGACATTAGTGACATGCGTTTACACATTCTTAACAATGCTTCAGCAAGGATGTCATCCACTGGCTGGGACATTCCATCATTCTTATCCTCCTTATATTGGATTTTTAAAGATT